GCTTGGTCGTTTGATCTGTCAGTTGGTTGGTTCAACACTTTGGTCCAGATCAATATATCTCAACAACTACACCTACCTATCTGAGCTTCTACACCCCTATATACCCGTCCGCCCCCTCAGGTCAGATGATCAGCTGCTCCTGAGTGTGCCTGAAACTAAGCGGAAGCTCAGAGGGGACCGTGCCTTTGCTGTGTCTGCTCCTAAATTATGGAATGATCTGCCTCTGCACATTAAACAGGCCTCTTCTCTGTCTGTTTTTAAAACCAGTCTTAAAACCCATCTCTTCCCTGTGGCCTTTGACACCTAGTAAGATGTCAACTTTATTTACTTGATTTATTTTTTTGTATTTGTTATTTTTATTTTTTGATTGCTTGTTATTGCATGGTTATTATTTTTATTTATGTCTTTTCATTTTATTGTTGTATTATATGTTATTTTGCGCCTCATGTGAGCTGTTATGTCTTTTATTTATGATGTCTTATTTATTCTCCTGTACAGCACTTTGGTCAACTTTGGTTGTTTTAAAGTGCTTAACAAATAAAGTTGGATTGGATTGGAACAATACTGGATGGATTGCCATGAAATTTTGCACAGACATACAGGGTTCCCATGCATCCTGATGACTTGATTCCCTGACTTCTCATCTAGCCCCACAAAGCCAATATGGCTATAGACTCTTAGTCTTGTTATAATAAAAATGGATGAAATATATTCTACAAGAGGGGTTGCTTGTAAGGACAAACACAGATAATTATTCCCTCATAGTGAAGCATTTAGCAGCTAAAAAGCTAGATATTTCTGGGAGACCCCTGACAGATTGCAACCAGCAGGTGAGAGCTGGATACAGACAGCCGAAGGCATCAGTAGTAGCTTTGCAAGCTTGTCAACTTGTACTGTACGCAATAAGTGAAAAAGCACATAACATATGATAACATATAATTTATTTTCTTTCTTTAAAAACAAAAGAATAGTATGGTAGAAACAGACTAAAGTGAACTGAAGAGTTCATTTCCAGTTTCTGTATTACAGTTCTATTATCACACAATTTCCCCTGAACTTAGTGTGTGTCTGTCACAGGAGAAAACTTCCACCAGCTCTCATCACAGTGTGTGCTGAAGGAATCAGTGGTCACGGCTCAGTGCCACTGAATAGACAGCAAACGTCATTTTCAACATACGGTTGATGCGTCCATTGCGAGCTAGCTTACAACTAATGCATAGCTGGTGCATTGGCTGTTTCGGATGAATAACTCAAACCATCCTGCAGTCATTGGCTGCTTTTGACTCGTCCGTAGCAGAAAACAATGGCGGCTTGCCTGGTCATACACTTTTATGTATTACATAAAAACAGTAGACTAAAATCTGTCAAATGTGTTGTATGAAAAGATTTTATCTGAGAAATAGTCTGTGAGTCACAAGGTAGCCACGCCCTACAGCACACCCAGCTTTGTTGTGTATTTTACTCTAAATGGGAACATCATTTACACAATGGACATCATGTTGTATGAAAGAGAGCAATGGAAGTTTATGGTCTCCATTGCTTGAAACTAACAATGGAGACCATAAACTCAAAAATGTCAGAAATTGGATCATTTCTCCATAAGACTCAATACTATTAGACTTTTTTTGCAGCCCATGGAGCTCACACACCTGGGTGAAGAAGTTCTGTCCACTATATATACTGTATATATGTAATCTCCTAAAATTCAGCCTTTTTTGGTATCTTTAAAAACTAACAAAAATGTGTTGATTTGAACATTATTTGGCTGCAGAGCTTGACTTTGTACTGACTGGCCGACCGGTAGTCTGCTACCTGTCTAGAGGTACAACACCACTCAGGACTGATTTACTGCTTCTCTGTGTTTAAGAAAGCGTTCTTGTTCACGGCAAAACAAACATCTTTACAATGAACATATCTTATGATCGTAGCTACTTGGCGTATGTATGTGTGAAGTAGCTTCTCTTTTTATGTATATTTGTAAAGCCAGCTCATGATAAGTAAACAGTGGCTCCTACAGATGCTGGAAAAGTTGTTTGCATAAGGTTCAGCCTGCTGGGAGACAAATGGCTTTGCACAGCAGACAGCAAAAAATCATTAATGCATCATGCAGCATGCTAATGTTATTTCTATAGACAGTGATCAAATCTGGTTGTCTGTGTGAGTGTGTGGGAGAGAGAGAGTATATACTTCACTGGGTGGATCATTTGAAGTACTTTCACAATACTTTCATCAGTGATTTACTGTGCAAAGAGTGACCTGAGAGGCCAAGTCTGCCTTTGAACATATTTATTCAACCTTATTCACCACATCTCTTCAGCTCATGTCGATTTTCCTCACAGCAGCAGCAATATTAGTTATTTATTTAGTAAATGCAATGAGGGTAAATACTGAGCTTCTGGTAACATTTTGTGAAATAAATATAAATGAGTCATGTCATAGCATGTTTAAAAGTGAATAATTTGTGTCTGGCAGTGCTTATTTTACCAACAGCAGTCAGAAACATTGTTTAACTTCATTAGGAGGGAATAAAAAAAATAGGTTTATCATACTTAACTATCAAAAGTGTTATTGTTCATGAAGTGGAGAAAATATCTAAACCTATAACACAACTTTTACACACACCCTGAGACACTGAATAACACTGAATCTTGAGTTTAGCAAATGGACAGTCCTGTGTGTTCATTAGACACTCAGCAGCAGGTTGTGTTTTACTCAGCACAAGGCCCCAACCCAGTTTCGATTCAGTCCCGGTGTTGTGCATGTTCTCCTCGACATATCAGCCACAGGCAAATTGGTTTCAGTTCACTACAATCATATCAGTATTTACTTTTGCCCGACTGGCTGCTGGTGGCACAACGATACAGAGCACCCACCCCGACAACTGTGTCATCTAGTATCGCTTAACACAGCCTGGCTGACACATACTGCAGAGCAATATTCAAAGTGCAAATGTTTCAGAAACAAAACAGTTTAGTCTAAGTTACACATTTGTACATGATAACACCAAAATAACTAATAAGAAAACTTTGAAACTTTAAGAAACTTCAGGACTGGCTCTGTTTAATGTAGTGGTTGTCAAACTGTGGGGCGGGCCCCCTTGGAGGGAATACAGCCACTGCGGGGGGGAATGGATGACGAGAGGAAATAATATGGACTGAAACTACGTCGAATGAATGTGATTTATGTCGGGAAAATAAACAAACAAGAGTTTGCTGATGCTATCGTGCTGACCTTTATTTCACTAAAATTCAACTTGGATCCTTTTTTATTAGTTGCTTCCCCTGTCATTGTTAATGATTGATACAAGTTGTGGGGTGTAGACTTTTTTTTGGCTTTTGAAGGGGGGCATGCCAGAAAAAGTTTTAGAACCACTGGATTAATGAATCAGGATGTTGCATTTTAATGGCATGAATGGAAGCTCATATTAAAACCTTTTTTCAGAGTGCTTCTGTACATCTTGTTATCCTGGATAAAAACAGTGCAATGTTGAGTTACCTTGGAATTTTGCTAAGTAGTCAGACTGTAAAGGAAAAAAAACAGCTTTAAATTGGGGAAATATTTCCATGCCTGAGTATCCTGGCTGGTATTGACACATGGCTGCCCATCCCATCATGTTCAGGTTTCCCCCATCATTAGGATGTGACTCAACCAAGATGCTGTAAACAGGATACAGTATGCTTGATATGCATGGTTTTGTCAGCCATAAAGAAATAAGACTGTATGTCTAATGTCAGGAGATAAAGAAACATGAATAACTGTTAAATTTAAGATATTCAGCCAAGAACAGCTTTTTTAAAGCCCCTATGGTAGGCTATTTCTCGAAAACATTACATATTCATGACTAATAAGCAACACTTAAAGATAAATAGAAATGTATTAAAGGTATAGTTTTACATTTTGGGAAACATGCTTTTCCACTTCCTGGTGGAGAGTCAGATGAGAATATAAAGGTCTGCAGCCAGCAGCCGGTTAGCTCGGCCTGGTTCTTTACAAAGGTAACAAAATATGTATTCCAGCACCTGTAAAGTTCACACCTCATTTGTTTAATCTACACAAAAACCGAAGTATGAAAACAACAATTCACCTACAGTGTGCCATTTCTTGGCTTTGAGCAGTTGTCAGACTCAACAAAATAACCAAGCCAGGCTCCGGGAGGTTACTGGTCCCAGACAAGGAGCGGCTGGGCACATAACCCATAAAACTCCTTTCTACCTGTTTTTGTGTTTTTCCTCAACCCAAACGAGCTTTAAGAGGCTGGTAGGAGGATTTGTTACCTTCATACAGAACCATGCTAGCTATTTTCCTTGTTTCCAGTCTTTATGCTAAGCTAATTGGCTGCTGGCTGTAGACTTATATTTGACAGATATAAGAGTGATTACTCTAACTCTCTGCCAGAGAGCAAACATTCCCGGTGTGGTTTGATCAGATTTACCTGACTATGGCAAGGCAACCTAAACACATGACCTACAAGTGTCATCACAATTTGATTAAAATATTCCTTAATCCTGATTGGTGCACAGATGTATGTGACACATCATTTTTCCAGCTAATTAAAAACAATGATGAGAACGCAGAGAATAAAACAAATACACAATTCTTTCATGTGAAATAACCAAAACTGAACTTAAAATTGTGCGTTCATGAGGACCCCCATCGCTCACAGTCACAAGCTGATGAGGAAATAGGTTATCAGGGCCTTTAAGCTGGATGGCTTGAATTCAAAACAGCTCCAACCAGTAACAGTCTGAATTTAACGTTTAGTTTAAGTTCTGCCAACACATCAGCAGCAGCTGTACAGCTGGAGTAGCAGTCATTATAACTGTCCAGAGGTTTTGGACAAACACTATTTCTATAAAAAAAATCATTACAGTGACTCTGTATAATTAGTAGTTAGAGAACTAGTAAGCAACATTAACCCTATTTAACTGATACTAATATGCTCCACCCAACTTCTGTACATAACTGGCTGTGTGCAAACAAGCAGGGTCACTGGTGAAGTCCTTCTCGACTTCACGCCTGCTGATATCATATTCAAACACACAGCCCAGTGCTGAAAAGAGGCCGTTTTTGAATTCAGAGCGTTTGAGAAAGACAGCACCATGGCAGCTACTCTTTGTCAGGTGATGGGCTTCCTGCTGAGTTTGTTAGGGGTGGCGGGAATAATTGCTGCGACCGGGATGGACCAGTGGGCAACGGAAGACCTCTTTGACAACCCTGTGACGGCGGTGTTCTCGTATTCGGGCCTGTGGAGGTCATGTGTCCGCCAGAGCTCTGGCTTCACAGAGTGCCGACCCTATTTCACCATTCTGGGACTGCCAGGTATGATTTTATTCATTACTAGCAACACAGAAGCAACAGCAACGAAAATACCACAGAGAACCACAAAAAATAAAAAAATAAATAAATAAAAAATATTTATCATTTTGTTGGTTGAATGCAGGAAATCACCAAACATTACTATATTGCCACTTCTACAGAATCTAAAGCAAACAGGCCATTATGGCTGCATTTTTATGTTCTATTATACAGTTACTTAATTGGAATATTGGTTCATTATTGGGGGGGAAATAAAATAAGCAGTTATATCATCAAGTTGTCACTGGTAAAAACATTAATGGACTGAGAGGAATGATATATATCAAACCATTTCAGTTCTGCGTTTCCTTAGAATGATGGGAAAATAATGATGGAAGGTCAGACCACACCCTTCCTTACGAAGGGGTGGAAATTCACATTGCAAACGTTTCCCGAAACTGGGACAAAGACTCATGAACATTTTAGGTAAACATCTGATAAGACCTGTTCCTTGTTGAAACATACATAATGATAAGCAGGAGCTCAGACACTGCCATTTTACCTCCATCCCACTGGTTGGTTAACTTTGTTTGAGCGGGACATCTAAAATGGCTGCCTCAATGATTCAGTTAATAGGATTTATGTTGTCTGCATTGGGGGAATTCTTAATAACAGCTGCAACGGCAATGGACATGTGGAGCTTGCAGGACCGATCTTTTACAGTTGTAACAAATTTTTACACATATTCTGGGTTATGGAACTCGTGTGTAGGGACATCGTATGGCACAACACAGTGCAGGCCTTATTTTACCATACTGGGGCTGCCAGGTAAGAGAATTACACTTAGAGAGAAAGAGACATTTATCGAATATTTCTCCACATGTTGGATTAAGGAGAACATTTTCCAAAGGACCTTGGAAGGTACTTTAGAATATTTGGGAGGTTTTAGGGCAGATTTTCTCCATCCTCCCTCCCTGCATAAAAATGCAGTCGACTGCAGAAAAGATGGTGTCTCTCCGGAATCAAATGGAAATTTGATGAGACATCCAAAGCTTAGCTGAGCAAGCACAAGCTTTACCAGAGTGTCACACAATGTAAAGTACATTTCCACACTCTGTACTTAACAGCTGAATGTAGTGTAGAGCATATTGTATATAAGGTCTTAAAGGCTTAAGTCTAGAATAATACAGGTACAATATCTCAGGCCATTGAGAGATGGCATTTAGGTCAATAGGCTTTATTAAATGGTGCCTTGTTTTATATCACTGCTGCTGGAAAAAACATAACTGCAATTTTGTTTGTCTGACTTTACTTTTTTTTAATTTAATTGCAAACGAATGCCATGAGCGTTGAGCTCTCTGAGCCTCTTTTAAAGCATATTCTCACCCTTTATCACTCCCAGAAAGTAATTTATTTGTGCCCTAGCATTGTTGTTCTTATACAGTATGTGTGTATTTGTACTGTTTTGTCTTTCTGATTTATTGTTTTATTGTCCTGTATGACTCGTTGAACTGCTTTTGTATGGAAATAAGATGAAGAACTTAGTAATATGTGATATATCAGAGATGATATATCAGCAACAAGGGAGGATATTTCTTGTGTAAGTCAGAAAATATCATCAGTGGAATATAGAAATAATAACTGTCCTGCCATAGCTGATGAAAGAAAATACTGAGGGTTTATTTTTTTTACCTTCTATGGAAATAGAGAAGCTGCTGCCCGTGCTGTATCTTTAGTTGTTTTTAATTGCTGAAAAAGTTTATTATTATAAATAATTTCTCTGCTCTGATTTATTCCACATTGGAATAAGCACTTAGATCTTTTACTTAGTAAAAGAGGTGATAACAGAGTAATAATACACTTACAATATAAAGTTCTGCATTCAAGTACAGAATTGAAAAGCATTAATTATATATTGTGTTATATTATTACATATTGTATATAAAAGATTGTCTTGATTGACTTGACTTACATCCTTTTGTTTCATGGATGAAAATGCATCATCATTTATTTGTTGATGATTGTATGTTTAGTACAGAAAATCTTAAAACGCAAAGTAACTAGTAGCTGTCAAATAAATGTAGTGGAGTAAAAATATTTTCCTCTGAAAGAGTTGAAGTATAAATCTTACTTACAGAACCTGAGTAAATCTACTTATGTTATTGTCCAACATTCTACATTTACAGGTTGCAAATCAATTTTATGAGCAAATAATGTGATGAGAATGTTTTTAAATGGTGTAACTTTGACTTCCAGCTCTGCTCCAAGCCGTCCGGGCCTTAATGATTGTTGGTATTGTTCTCGGAGCCATCGGCTGCCTGATCGCCATATTTGCACTGAAGTGCTTGAAAATGGGGAACATGGAGGACAACATCAAAGCCACAATGACTCTGACAGCTGGGATCCTGAACCTTCTTGCGGGTGCAGTAATGCTTTGTTCACAAAGTCTAGTTCTGTTATGACAGTGAAACCATTTTGCACGTATCAGTCCCTCCAGGAAGTTGCGATCCTAACAATGAACACATATTCAACCAATCCCTGGGAATGCTGTGTGACCATGTAATTCTGTCCTATCACCGCAACTTCTCTGCATATTTGATGAATCATTGTAGTGTCCGGCGCAAAACATTGAGTCATATGTCACCTGACGCACTTCCTTGTTCCTTGTAGTTGTGAAGATGCAGACCATGCAGACATTTGTGACGCAAACATCTCACATTCATCCTGTCCTAACAGGGCCATTTTATTCTCACTGGAACAAGTTGCCTCAGATTTTAACAGAGCTATACAAAAAAAGTACAATATCATAAGCTATTTTTTGCAATTTTCACTTTCTCAGGCAGTTGTATTGCAAAAAATGTCTTAAAACATTGCAACATGCATCACAAATAAAAAAGCTGCTGTGGAATCTGGCAGATTAGGCCGCAACAATCCCCAAAAAGCCGGCAAATTTCTGGAGTGACTGACTGATGATTCTTCATTTTTAGGAGTCTGTGGCATCGCTGGGGTGTCGGCCTTTGCCAACTTGATTGTGCAAAGTTTTCGGTTCACAACATATGCCGGCAGTGGGTTCGATACGTATGGAGGCGGTGTTGGTGGACTTACCGGATCTCTGACCCCAAGGTAAAGTCAAATCAAGATGATGAGATTAAGGTCTGCCAGAGCGCTCTGTTGTATGTTCCTATAACCACTGTCTTCTTTCAGGTACACTTTTGGCCCTGCTCTTTTCGTGGGCTGGATCGGCGGAGCTATCTTGTTCATCGGAGGTGTCATGATGTGTCTGGCCTGCCGTGGAATGACTCCAGAGAAAAATCAACGGTACGTTCCATATCACTGAAGGACTCAATAACTGTGTAGTATCTGTGACCTTTTCTGACCTTTTAAGAGTACCAGTGGGGGTAGCAGCAACTTTGATAGAGCTTCTCTCCTCCTGTACAGTAAAGTAACAGAGATGAGTAAGCTGCTAAATAGATCCAACAGAAATGTCTAGTAAGCAGGCGATACATGCAAAATACCAGTGCAGATTGTATGTTCACTGCAATTAAAGACAGAAATCTTAGCTTCTGACAAAGCTGAACAACAGTATAAAGCGAAAACCCTGCATATATTTTTGTTATGCTGTGGGCAGTAAAAATCTTCCTTTCAAATTTAAGGACACATACTCAGCAAAATGTAAATGCAGATCCTTTGGTATGTTTTTTTTCCTCTGCATATATAATGCAGAGTGCTTACAAGGCTGCTTGCAAAACGATACACAAAAGTCCCTATATTCTTCTCCTGGTCCACCTATTCCTTGTAATGAGTTTTCAATCATATTGTTTTTGACTATATTAATGTGAATGGTGGACTACACAGAGATAACAGAGTTAGTGAGAGTCTAGAAGTTGGATGATTCACTTTTTATTTAAAGTTGCTTATTTCCTGATATTCTTCAGGTACGATGGGATGGCCTACAAAGCCGCCTCTCAGCACACCATGTACAAGTCTGACACCCGACCCCGTCCGGCCTACAATGACTCCTACAGAGCCCAGAGTATGGACGGAAGGCAGAACCAGAAATTTGACTACGTGTAGAATCATTTTACTTTCATAGATACCTCTTTTTTTATATTCTACAGCTCTGTGATGAGTTTTTCACTTGTTTGCCTGCATTCATGGGAAGAGCGGTTATTTTTTTTATTTCTCTGTACTTTAATTTGGCAGAAATATTTAAGGTCTATTTTTTTTTTTTTTAGCATCATATAATCCTAATTTTGAAATGCCATTTTGTGATTTGTTTTTCTCATTTATTTTTTTTGCCAAATAAAGAAGTGTGACTCTTATTTTGTTGAAGTCAAAATTCACCACCACCATGTTACACAAAAGGAAGATGAATAATTAGAAACCTAAAGGCTGTTCAAAATGGGTGTAGAGTTACACATAACTAAATTAAAAAGGGTTACACAAACTATTTCTCATCTAGAGATTAGTTGTCACTAAACATTTACACCCAGTAACTGCTGTGTAACTGCTGTGTAGCTAACTTCACCGACAACAACAGTAACATTAGCTTGCTAATATAGCCGCAGTTTAAACTGGAGAGAATATATATTCACCGGACACATCAAAATGCTGTTTAATAATTAAGTGAACTTGTTAGAAATTACATTTCACAAAAAAAAAACACAAAAATAACAATGTAGCTTTAATTACAGAACATTGTGCCAATTATGTTAGCTTAAATGACCAAATAACGTTGGTTGTGTTAGCTTAGTCAGATTTGAATGTATTTCACTGTGTATGTACATATAAATAAAACAAAGTCATACCTACTTTAACAAAGGACTGTTTGGTCATTTTAATACACAGTTTACCAACTAAAACTGTTTTTTATCAGTTCTGTTACAGCTTGTGATGCTATAGGTGCGTTTACATAGTACATTGCTATTAACTCTGAGGATGAGTCTTAATTACAGTTTACATATTACTAAAGTCTTTGGTAGCTAAGACACATTGTTAGTTTTAATGGTGTAAGCCAATTTACTGAATCGCTAGTTAGAAACTAGCCAGGTGTTTATACTGAAGCAGAACTGTAATCAGTAACTTGGTAATGCTTCTACAAATAGCACCTGCAACACCATCCTGATGTGTGCCCTCATAATGATGTGTAATATGTAATGTAATGATAACTCTATAGTTACACCTATAAAAAAAACATATGAGTATGTGAAGACAATCACTGTTTCAGAATGCTGTTAAAACATTTACCAGAAAATATTTAATATGAAAGAAATGTAGGAGAAAATTCCAAACCAACCAATGTTCACCAGAAAAAGTTAATTTAATTTGTGCGTATCATAAAAGAGAGAATCAAAACATCTGAAATAAATAACCATATTGATTATTGTGTTGTTGTTTATCCTATTAGTGTTATCAATAGAAAATGCAGTGGTCATCAGTTAATCCGTGGTAGTTACCTGTTATCTCCAGCCCTCCAGCACCATATGATAAAATAATTGCCATGTTGTTTCAGGGTAATAGAATATAGTAAATGGCTCCCCTCAGATAGACACTGCATCTTTGATGTCAGCCCCGTTCATTGGTCAGACACTGCTCTGTATGGATCTGGACTGGTCTTTGATAGGGCAGCACAGTCTCTGGTAGTCCGTTGGGATATGTCTTTATTTCCCAGGGAACAGGCAGAAAAGGGTTTAGATAATTTGCATGAAATCACATTTCTTGATAATACAATTAATTATAATTAATCAATTAGTAATAAGTAGGTGGTAACATTTAATCACACTAACAGTGAGTCATTCATTGTTTGAATTAAATTGTTGCAAAGTAATGGCTCTGCATTCAGACAATGTGACAAACCTTTTAAAGCTCCTTTTCGGCTTCAGAGTTTTATTTTATTGCTTAATATAATTATGCTTTGGAAAGAGATCTAAAAGCATGATATGATTCACTGCACATGTTGAACTGAGCTTTACCAAGACCAACCTTTGGGACCATCACTTCTTAGATTTTGTCAGCAGGAGTTCCAGTTAACATTCGGATGAAAAAAATCACTCTTTCTTGGTAATGTTTCTGGTAAGATTGGACTTTGTAGACCCAGCTAATATATCACCATCCTTGGAGCTCTGGCCCCACCTACTGACTGAGAAATGCATCACTGCTCTGTTAGTGAAGTAAGACGTGTGATTGAGTGATTTACTGTTAGTGGTGCATGTTAAGCATGATCAGATCCCCGATGCCCTTCTTCATCTTTTCACTATCCTCCTTTTTACAGATCACCAAGACTGTGTTGATCTTTTCCACATCCTTTACGTAGGAGTGCAAAATGAAAACATTTTTTGTACTCCAATTAAATTTATGTGGTGTAATTTACTTGTCTTAAACTTGTGAGCCTGACAGTCACCACCACTTATCCCATTAGCCCCAAACAATTATGCAGATTTAATGCTTCTCTTTTGCTTGCACAATTTTTAAAACTGACACGTTTCACATTCTGCATGCAATTTTAAACTGATCATACAACTGCTTCACAGCACATATTGTCTCAGTGATTAGCATTACAGCGTCCTATTTGTGCTGTTGTTACAGTATATGTCAGTTATGCAATGGCTATAATCGAGTCAGATACAACAATAAAGAGCTGAAGGCTGTTGTGCTTTAGTTTTTTATCTTTGCCTCAGTCTCCCTCAGTTCTTACAGTATCTCAGTAGCAAAGTGTCAGCTCTTAGCAGCGGCGAGGGACAAGTTAAGGTGACACAGGTGACACGGTTATAGGTGCTGTTGTCATTGAGTGGAGCTCAGGGAACAGCTGTGCTCCAGCTCAGGCAGAACAGACCCTGAAGGTAAGTAGTGAAACAATGGAGCTGGGCAGTTGTGGGTGGAGGCTAGGACACGCCGCATCAAGCTTAGCCACATTAATCTCTCCAGTAACAATAGAAAACACATTAAAGAGCAGTGGAGGAGGATGAAGTACAGTGCTATCATAGTTCAAAACTGTTAAGCCTTTGTGGTCAAAAAACAAGAGAACTGGTCTGTGTGATACTCGGTAGTATATATTTTCCTCTAAAGTCTGCAGGTTTTGAGGAGAATGAGTCTGACTTCTGCCAGGCAACAGTAGAGATAGACGGTCTCATGTCAAATCCCATTCAACCTGGGACCGAGGGAAAACAGATTAGACAGAAGATCTGCATTGGCAAATAATGATTCCATACAGTTTCAATAGATGTTTCTCAATTAGCATATTAGCATATCCATGTGTGAGAGGGCTTGATTTGTATGAGAGGAAAGAAGAGGGCTTACACATTGCCACACACTGCCTCAGATAAAGAGATGGTTCTGTGGAAAAGCTTTTTTTTTTTTTGGCAACAGAGGAGAATAAATCTAAAACTGGTTGCTAAACAAAACCAACGCTATGCAATAATTCTTCTGAAAAGTCTGGAAGGTTTGCAGACTTCTAGATTAAGCTACCCAGAAACAAAAGTTTTGCTAATTATAATAAATCGGAGATGAGATGGGCCATTCAACATAATGAGTACATATTTTTTGGGCTTTTATTGCCTTTATTATAGTAACAGCTGAAAATAGACAGGGGTTCAGGGTTGGGTCAGATTACTTTGAAGTGTAGTCAGTTAATGAATACATATGACATGGCAATTTTTCTAAGACTCTGGATTTATTGTCAGATCGAGACTTGCAGATCAAAGCCACGGAACATAAATACACCTGCGAAGGACAAAGAAAGGTGGTGCACATGCTGACTCTGCTCTGAGTTTAGAAGACAGATCCCACGGAGGGAAGGTTTTCTAACCCCCAAGGTAAGCCCTGAACACAGCTGAGGACTGGCACTGTGGCCACAACCTGGTCCCTTACTCTCTGTTCCAGCCACTGGTGCTCTCATCACCTCCACTGCCTCTCCTCAGCCCCCAGAGCTTAAACACCACCAGCCTCAGCATGCTGGAATTATACAGTATCAGCAGGCAGGGGAAGGCCACTGCAGTGATGTAGCTGATTAAAAGCCTCTGTGGAAACTGGCTGCACATCCAGTATCTGCAGGTTGTTAACAAAACAAAAATTCAAGTCAAATTTGATTTAGATGGACTCCCAGTTAGCTCAGTGGGTAGAGCTGGCAACCCATATACTGAGGCTGAGTCCTTGCTGCAGCGGCCCAGGGTTTGAATCCGACCTGCGGCCCTTTGCTGCGTGTCATCCTCTCTCTCTGCCTCCCTCTCCTGTCTATCTTCGGCTGTCCCTATCAAATAAAGGCAATAAAAAAAACTTTAAAAATAAAAAAGAAATTTGAGTTAGATCACTTTGAATTCCTACGGGCTTGGTGGCAATGAAAAAAGCAGAGCACAGTCAGACTCACTGTATACATTTGCTAAGTAGTCAAACCTTTCGAGTGGTTTAAAATAAAAACAATGAATCCTGGTTTCTTACATCTGCGCTGTCATCGCTCAGTTGCTATAAACACTTTAAATCCCACAAAGCACTTCAGTCACTGTAGGAAGACCTGCATGGAGATAAGAAAGACACAGAATTTACTTCAACAAGCCCTGACTATGGTTGAATCTGCCTGCATTGGTTGCACAGCTGTGATAATGTGTTTAAAGGTAAGTCTGATGGTAGTCCATATTTTTCATGTTCATGGAGTGCATATTCTTTGGGATTACGGTTTGATTCTGCTGCCCCTAAGTGGCCAAAATATATATTGCAGGTTAAAAGCCTTTAAGATTTCAGTTGATGTTGGTCTTTAGTTGTGCATATGCCCAAACAAATGTACGGGGGAAAAAAGACCAAATGCCAATTGAAACATAACAAATGTAGGCCCTGGTTCCTGCATTGCACAGTTGGTAATCCCCTGTACTTGTGTGCTTGCTACAGCATGAGATACTAATACTAGAACATTACTATGTGAAAACATAAACATGGGACCAGTTTAGATGATCAAAATAACAAGTGCAAACATTTGGGGTTTATCCCAAACCTAGTGGTCTAAAATCACCTTGTGGAGCCAAAATCCTATTTTAGATCTACTTGTTCTCCAACTGTCTTCATCATTCTGAAACCATAAGACAACAAATGTTGAGGATGACTAATTTTCACTCCTGCCGCCTAAAAAGAGGCAAAAATTGTCTGATAATATTTTTCATTTACATAACATAGGAAGGTAAAACAGCATCACTAATAATCTGGAAAACTATGCTAAAGGAGTGTTCACAGAATGAATTAGAGCTCAACCGATATATTGGTTGGCCGATATTGGCCTATTGCAGATGTATCCTATCAGCGTATATGTTATCTGATACGAAAACTTTCTATTATATAACACAGAAAAAATGCTTGTGGTAATATACTGGTATCACTGCAACGTTTCTCCAGCACAGTGTGCTGTGATTTACAATACTGTGGCAAGCAGCAATGTTAAATTACTGAACATGTTAAAGAATATTAAACATTATTTATATGTACATTTGCATAGTCATATCAGTGCACAATCCACATAGAAAAGGTCTATTTTCATTCCAGATCAAAAATTCATTATATCAATTATATAACTATATTGATAATCTGTGAATAAAGCTTGCTGACACATGTCTTCATTTTAGTTAGCCTACTCTTTCTTTCTGTTTGTCGCTGATGGAAGCTGGTGGAGTTTTGGTCTGACAATGTCCACAAAAAAACAATACAGTGCTGTTAGTTTTCCATATGCAAATCACATTGTATTGTTTGCTTCATTCAATGACCCATGGATTTTCTCTGGTTTGTAGTAGATATATATATATATAATAGGAATTTCATTACCAGCAAAGACAATAAAGAGTTGATTATCATCACTTTTCCCAACACATGAAAGCCTTTCTATCACCTATTATTATTACACAGGAGGTCACATCCAGTGACCTCTTGCACTGTTTGACCTAGCTGTGTTCAAAAAGCAGAGACTGACACAATCTCACATCCACAAAACATTTAGAAGAGAACTTATGGTTGCCTGATACATCCCCAATTTTCTGATAATATAGTTAAGTATTTCAACACACTTCCCTCCTCACAGTGGATGAGGAAGTACACTTATTTGAGAATAACATAACTGTAATCAGTGGTTTAGATAGCAGGGTTCATGCTTTTCTTCTTCCTGCTACTGCTCTGTGCTGTCATTGGACATTGAGTTTCAGATCAGCTGCTCTATTATAAGGTGAAATACCACAATGCATTGTCTTCTAATCAGAGATATGTTCCTCTGAAATCACTATCATTCTGTAAAATGTGTGAGGAAACATTCTCATTGCTTGAGCTAAACTTTTACAAATTGCCTTCAATATTACCTGAGCCTGCCTGATTTAGTTTATCATAGGTTGACTATCTAACAGTCACATGTGACCTATAGGTGACTTATGACACATACCAATATAAAAGGCCCGTATGCCAAGGTAAAATCTTCAAGCCAGCAACCCAAAGTGTCTTTATATCTTTCTCGGCTCTGATTGGTTGTTTCCGTAAAGGCCGGTGGAGTCTTGCAGATTCTGATATTTTCACAGACCTGACCTGTCTCATGTACTACTGTCAGATGTCTGTCATTGCCTATGAGAAGGTGGACATATTGACAAATAAGAAATAAATGACAGCAAATTTACATGCAAGCACCATTAAGTAAAGCAGAAGAGTTAAAACAATCATAAAGGATCATATAAGCAAAAGTGTCATGAATACTGGGACTGGAAGACATCTTCACAATGTACAAAAACATGTAGACATTGGTGGATTACAGAGCAGGAGCCCAAAGGAAGAAATGTCCTAGGACACACAGGAAAAAATCATACACCCCATATCAAAGGCAAGCATCCTAGTGGACTATGCACTAACTTCACTTCTTCCCCGGAGTTCTTGTGCTTTTCTCTCTCTCTCTCTCTCTCTCTCTCTCTCTCTCTCTCTCTTTCACCCCAACTGGTCGAGGCAGACGACCACCCACCTAGAGCCGAAGGATCTGTCCTAGGTTTCTGCCTTTTAACAGGCAGTTTTTCCTTGCCCCTGTCACCAAGGTCTTGCTCATGGTGGTACTGTTGGGTCTCTGTAATTAATGTTATAAAGAGTTCGGTCTAGACCTGCTCTATTTGAAAAGTGTCCTGAGATAACTTCTGTTATGAATTGGCGCTATACAAATAAAACTGAATTGAAAAAAATTGAATTGAATTGTAATAAACCGAAAACTGTCAAACATGTATTATTAGACCGCAGCAAATATGATCAAAGGTACAAAATAATGAAGAGTACATAATCCTTTAATTACGACGGAGTAGGGCCATACTGAGAGAAAAAAAAATTGGGAGGGGGAAATAACGAGAATAAAGTCATAATATTAAGTCTACGAGAATAAAGTCGTAACATTACAAGAATAAAGTCATAATTTTATGAGAACTGTCAGCCTGTTGGCTCAGCCAGCAAACCTGTTAAAAGACGAACTCATCAATACTTTAGCTTACCTGTTGACTGTACGGTGCGACCAGCGAATAATAGAGAATTGAGTTAATTGTTTTTTTCCAGTCCAGCAGGTGGCGGTAATGCACCTACAAGACCGTTTGCCAACCGCCATTAAAATCAGAAGAATCAGAAGAAGAAGATGATGAAGCTGATGATGGTTCTTGCTGCAACAAGCGTATGAAGCACTGTGTACATTACAGTAATGTAGTTTGGGGTCGCCAGCTTTTAAATGGACGCAGCTAACGTTAGCTCGACCCTGCAGGCTGTCGCTGGAGTTGAAAGAATACAAACCGAGATGATGACGTTAGCATGAGCTTTACGTGGCTTTATAATGATAGTTAGCGGAGAGGCTAGCTAATGTTAGGTTGTTAACGTTGAGTTAATCCTGTTGGACGGCTGTTATGTATCAACTAACGTTAGTTAATGGCGCCGGACAGCTAACATGAGCGACATTTATTTCCATGTAGCTGAGGTGAATCGACTCAGATGAGTTGGTCGGCAGTGTAAACTTCTTCTCTGGGTTAGTCATTAGCAGCGGACCTGAGGCATTTCACCGTTTAGCTGCTGCTATCCGCGGCATGCTTCCTCTGGTTGTTTGATGGGGCTTTTAAGGACCACGATGCCGCCCAAGTTCCAGCTTTTGGCTCTTTTGGCATTCGGAGTGGCGATGCTGTTTATTGAGAACCAGATCCAGAGACTGGAGGAGTCAAGAGCCAGACTCGGTAAGACCAAAACACAGCTGCTGAACTGTAAGAACAGGTTACTGCATGGATGTTGTGTTCATGCAAAGTGCTGCTTGAGTCTTTAAAATGATATTCCAGTCGGAAATGTTGTTGGCAAAAGGTTGGAGTAGTATATATATACACTATATATTATAGTGTTAGTGCTTGGAGCATATGAAGGAAACAGTTTACACTCACCACACTGAGTTCAGTCTGTTGAGGGAGGCCTGGGACATTAATACAAAGCGCTTGAACTAATGTTTACCTGGTTTTATATGCTTATACATCATTTATCTGACTTTATATGACTCCTGAGTTGGTTTCTTCTCTCCAACTAGTTTTGACTAACAACTATTTAAAATAGCAGTTGTTAAAAAAGACTAAAGCACATTTTAAAAACACCCAGTTACAAAGTGCTTCACAGATAAAGATAAATAAAGATAAAAACACATGTGAAATGCAAGTACATACACACATATGTACATACAAGCAGAAATAGATATACACATATGCATAACACACAACAAGGTAAAGGCAAACAGCATTTATAAAAAGGCTAACCTATAAAAGTGAGTTTTTAGCAATCCCTTTAAATAAATCATTAAATCAGCACATCTGATGGGAAGGGGGGAGGCTATTCCAAAGGTTAGGAGCTGCAACTGAAACAGCTCACCTCTGGATTTAAAATGTGTACGGGGACAGATAGAAGGTATTGCTTGGAAGATCGGGGCGGCCGGGAGCAGGAATAGGGGAAAAAATATATACATAATAACATAAAAGTAAATGTGTTTTATCCATTAATCACTTAATTTACAATACAGCCAGTCAATGAATTGAGATGAGTCGTGTTCATGTGATCATGCAGCAAAGCTTTACAGAGCAAACACAAAGATATGTCAGAGGTATACATGTTTTGACCCAAAAAATAATCACACTACACAATATGTTTGAGCTGCAATGAGTAGTTGACTAATCAATTATTCAATTCAATCAATAGAAAAATGATTGCCAACTAGTCATTTTTCATGAAACAATGAGAGAAAATGCTGTTTTCAGCATCTCAAATATGGAGATTGAAAGACATCACTTGGATGGACATTTTTCACTATTTTCTACCAAATGATTTAATAGATAAATCTATAAAGTTATTGATTTGATTGATTATAAAAATAACCATTAGTTGCAGCCCTACCAATGCAAAAACTGTGTTCACTCAAGTTCAAACAGGCACATCCAACCAGCTGCATTACACATGCCTGTACCTGCATTGAGTTCCTGTGACTCACATCAAACCAAAAACAAAAAAATGTTCTCACCTGTAGCTTTTCTTCTTCATTTTGGATCCTAAAAGTGGACATCTACTGTATAGCAGACCTGTAGTGTTTAGGAAATACTGTATGTATCAAACAGAAACTAACTCATTCACACACCGATGCACAGAATAGGGAGCAATTTGGTGTTCAGTATCTTGCTCAAGGATACTTCGACACATGGCGGGAGGAGCCGGGGATCGAACCAACAACCTTCCGATTAGTGGACGACCCACTCTGCCTTTGAGCCACAGCCGGCAGCCTTACTAGAATGGTCACTAGTGGGCCCTTTCACTTCAAATCTGTGATACAAACGCAGGTTTAATAGACTAAAGCAGACACTTGTGTAAACCAAGGTTAGTCTAGACATGAGAGTACTGGTTCTGAACTCCACTCTACTAATTTAATCCTTGTAGAAACTGTACAGTAAATAAAGCTGAATGTTGCCTGGTATGAGGTGTGCCAATGCATATATATTACTGTGTGGTGCATGGCATGTGTCAAAACAAGAAGCTTAATGCTCCAATATAATGGAACCCAAGATAATCCACAGACCTTGTTGCAAGAGGAAAAATAAGAAAAATAGAAATGTATTTTAGATTTGGAGTAGACTGTCCCTTCAACCATAAGATAGTGAGTAACTAACCACCTGCACATTTACTGTATTATGTCTTAAAGAAGAGGGAAATTAAAAAGGCAGAGAGACCATCCATCTGCCTTCAAATGCAGCCTAACAATCCCCCTGCATGGCTTCTGTCTCCTCATGGTGTCAGACACTGAAGAGCTGCCACGGCAGCAGGAGGCCTGCATCACATTGAGTGACACACAGCCGGTCCAAGGCCATTCCTGTAATTGGTTTTAATTAACATTGTGTTGGAGAAAAGAAGTGGGAGAAAACACTTTTAATTATGCCTCCTGTCAATATTATCATCAAAAGCTTAATTACTTGTTTCGATGTTTTGAAGGTCTATGTTGTTTTCTTTAATTAAGGCATGCTAACACAAGTCTCGCTGGCTTCACATTCTAAACTACTTGTTCATTTATACAACTGATGCACCTTTGTCTTCATTGTTGTGTTTGTGGCCTCACACCTGCTGTGCGTGCTGCCAAATGAGAATAACAAGCGCCAACTAACTTGTGTCTCATTAAAATCCAGCCAGCAGGTTCAACATCATATAAACTGAAGATTGTATTGATTCACTAAAGAAAAGGATGGCACAAACAACCAAACAATCAAAATGAGCTATATTTCTTTTCAAAGGCATACGTGTCTGATTGTTAATGGTAAATGTAATCTTCTGCCCGTACAGAGCGTACCATTGCCAGACACGAGGTGGCTGAAGTAGAGCAGCGTCACAGGAAAGATGCCGGGCGGGAATTGTCACCACCAGCAGACAAAGACGACATGGTCATCATCTACAACCGAGTGCCCAAGACGGCCAGCACGTCCTTCACGAACATCGCCTACGACCTGTGTGGGAAGAACCGCTTCCACGTCCTGCACATCAATACGACCAAAAACAACCCTGTCATGTCTCTGCAAGACCAGGTGAGACCATCAGCCATTGCTGTATGTAGATGCAATGTGCATGTGGTGCAAATTAAAACAAGATCATTCAAAAGATGAAGGGTCAGAATTGAACTGAAAATACCAGCCAATAAAAGCTGCTAGACAGAAACTTGTTCCACCTCTCACATGAGCACATTTCTGCCATAATGCTAATAATACTGTACTTAATACAACAAAGAAGAAGAGTGCTCTGCTGGCACAACAGGTGCTGTTCTTATGACAGGCTTGTGGGCACTTTGATCATCACAACTGAAAATCTGGAGTTAAAAATAGACCTTTGCTGTGGACAGAGTGCTGCGAGTTGCACTGGTTGTAACATGAAACATTGGGATGTATCTGCCTTTAATACAAAGAGCGAAGGACAGTAAAAGAAGAGATCTGTGGCTTTAGGCCATCAGTCAGTCAGTCAGCATGTGTCCATCTGTGGCTAACTTCACAGGTTAGTTAATACTGTTACTGAGTAAATGACGTGCTGATTCTAACTGCAGATTGAAGAGAATCAGAAAGAAGTCTTAGTGATGGTGTAAAGTTTTTATTGTGAAAATATATGGCCCAACAATTAAACTCCTGCTTTTAAAGTTTTGAGTTTGATTTGACAGCGTGGAGCTAAGGGTATTTTAACCTTAATAATCACATAAACTGAGCTGACCTATCTTCTAATAACGAACCTTCTAAAACAGCGTAAAGTAATGTAGGAAAGGTCGGCTCGTAGTAAAAAGTCGATTAATAAACAGAAACGGCACTTCCGCTTCGGCACAACGATATGATTAGTTTACAGTAACGTCACAATGGAGGGAAGACCAAAACAGAAAGATGAAGTGTCTTAATGACAAACAGTGTCAGATGTCAGAAATATGAGATTCATCCGCCCACTTTGATGGAGACAGACTGAAAGGACACTCATCGACTTTCTTTATTTCGTCTTTATAACGACTTTGCTGGCCATAGGAATGTGATAGGATAACTAAAAACCCATACCATATTCTTGTTTTATGTTATTATATTGGCAAAAACCTCGGAATTTGCATTTGCCACCAGTCACCTAAACGGGGGCGGGGGCCTTGCACTAAGGCCAGGCCAAGTGCCCGGGTGGGCTGCTCTCGTCTATTAGCAGTGATTTAACATTTTTCCATCTCAGCATGCTCGTTTTCCCAATTAACGTAATGGCAAAGAATAAATTGGGTTAGATCCCAGGAATGAAAGTTGGTTGAGTGAGTTATTAGCAGTGTGGGAGTAGCGTAGTGTTATGAAGTAACGTTAACATAATTCCTCTAATATTTCAGAAGACGGTATAAAAGCACAGCGCGTTTGAACACATCCCCTTCATTTTCTGATCTAAAGTCACCTGACAGTTCAGGAAATGTGTGCCTGCCTTCTGTTCATATAATTATTTAATAATTATAATCGTATTATAATAATAATGTCCTCTGATTATTTAACTCACTACTGTTGCAAAGCTCTGTATGTATAATGTAATGTAATATGTGTCTTCTACTGAAGACAGTAAGTGTAGCTCACGGGTAGAAACGGTGTTGCTGCCCTCTGATGGTTGGGAGTAGTAGTAACGAGATACATTGTCCTTGTCCCACAGTTACATTAAAATAATAGACAGCTGTGTGCATTAATAAGAGAGTTTGAGCAGACATTTGAAATGAATGCTTAAGTTAGTCTCCTCACTAATTAATTACTTTTACAAGCAGTAATTAATAAAGTACTTTTGAGAGAAGTAACTAGAAACTGATTACTCTTTTTCAGTAACTTGCCCAACACTGAGTACAAGCTCACCCCTGCCTTTTGATTAACTGGATAAACTAATTCAGTTTGAAGAAGCCACACACTAGGGAACCACAGCAGGAGAACAAAGTTTGAGTCGGGGTGCATGTTTTATAAGCTCCAGAAAAAATGTGAGGCATCAGCACATATTGCAGCCTGTTACACTGGTTGCATTTATATTGCTGCCAGTACATTGTAGGACACAGTGTAAATGCCTCAAAGCTATGCTCGTGTTATTTTTGGCTGCTGGAGCCAAGGTAATATCCTGTCTGCCATCTCACAACAGGCTGCCCCCCCTCCATCTCACAAACAGTCTGTTTCCTCTGCACAGGATAAAACAGAGACGACGGGAACGAATCAATGCGCTGGCACATCAGAGCCCAACTCATTTTACTACAGGAACATTCACATGTGTGTCCAATAATAGCATTGAGCTTAGCCAAAACTGGTCAGTGTGTTTGACTTTGTCTTATTTTTACTCTGTCGGACCGCAGAGTGTGTGTCAAAGATAACAGTAATAAATGGAGGTGGTGTGCGGGTCTGTAAGAAGGCTATTCACAACCAAAGGGCAGTGGCTGGAAATTGGTTCTGTTTGATGTTAACTGATGAAATGTGTTCTTTTTCTAGTCACACGTATATGAGACATCACACAGCTGTTGAAACATGGCCACTCATATTACATAAACCTAGGTGTGTGTTTTGTCTGAAACCCGACTGTTGGTAGGATAAGCTGCGTGTTATGATAATTCAAAGACCTCTTTTTTAAGCCCAATAACACATTTTATCATAGTTTGTCATTTGCTACATTGGTATGAATAAACACAGGGCATAGCATTCACATGTCTATGTTTTGGTTGAAGCAAAAGTTAACTGTTGAGAGCCTCTGCTTTGCGATCCAATGTGATTTCCATACAATACATTCTCACTTAACCTCTCCTACGATGTCCACTGCACAGACTCACTACAGCCTTTTAGACCGTGTGAAGATGGGAAGAGTCAGTGTCTCCTGAGCACATACATACAATTGTATCAGTGAAGCGATCCATTTTCACTTCTTGTCCGTGTGTTTTCTGTTGTTGCTGTGTTTTTCCATTTGCATCTGCTGCTCCATAATTAGTTTCCATTATCTTTGGCTACAGGTGCGCTTTGTCAGGAATGTCACCTCATGGAGAGAGATGAAGCCCGGCTTCTACCACGGCCATGTAGCTTATCTGGACTTCTCAAAGTAAAGCCCTTCATTTCCTGTAACACCATTAATAACCAGATTAGTTACAAACAGTTAGCAGAGCAGATAAAGGGAGGTCATGTATTGATTGCTAACGTGTGCTTTAGTGTTGATTAATTGCATTGTTGTCCTTATCTCCCCTGACACTATCATTTCACTGATCACAGGTAATTATCCTAATGGTGTAAGTGTTCCTCTGTGAGAGAGACCCTGTTAACTCCCTGATGCTGCCACACATTCACTGATGGAAAGGCTGATTCTTTACTGCAATAAACACTGTTAATTAGGCGGAGAAGCGTGGCAGATTCCTGCTGTGTTGGATGTGTCTGCTCAATGCAAACAAAATCTTTAAAGATATGTCAACCCATTTCTTTTTGTCTAGATATGGGGCGAAGGGTAAGCCGATGTACATAAATGTGGTGCGGGACCCCATTGAGCGCCTGGTGTCATACTACTACTTCTTACGTTTTGGAGACGACTACAGACCAGGTCTTCGACGAAGGAAACAAGGGGACAAAAAGGTCTTTTATTTAGAGCTCATCAGTCTTACTCAAAGAAAGCTTTTGTTTGAAGGCCCATTGTCTGTCTGCACATAAATGTATGATAGCAAGTGGCTCTGTTGTCTTTCAGACCTTTGATGAGTGTGTGTCATCCGGGGGGTCTGACTGTGCTCCTGAGAAGCTCTGGCTGCAGATCCCCTTCTTCTGCGGCCACCATTCAGAGTGCTGGTGAGTGGGCTGCACCTGCCTCATCACACGCTGAACACAATCACAGTAAACGTTTGTTATTAATTGTTTGCAATTTTCAGATCGGAAGAGCCACAGTTCTAATAATAACTCGCACAATTAACAGCGACTCAACAGGCAGCAGCAAGTCAAAGTTTAAGCAGGTGGCTGATTTCATTTACATTAGCAAAGATAGTTGTGTGGAGGAAGAAACGCTGTGTGTTTTCGCTATTCGTAAGAGATCTTTATCTTCATAAACAACATCTCTTAGTTAACTTATGCGAGCATCATATAATGCTTTTAAGTTTCTCAGTTTAGAAGAATACTCTACTGATTTAGCACTGCACTCGAGAGCTGCATCGGGTTAGGATCCCGCGGGACCCAGCGCAAATCTCATGGGAGTGGGGTTTTTTTTTTTTTTTCTTTCACTGCTGGGGGCAGGAGGGGGCAGCCAAAAGTAAATCCTGGTGGCTCCCAGGATTTATCTTGCGCCACTTTAGAAGGATGGAGACAGTCAACAAATGAAGTTCAGATTAAGATTAAAGCAGCAATAGCAAAGGAGTCATTTGGAGTCATTTCTTACTGATGCAGTAAAATAACCTTTTCACCTGCGACACAGGAGAAGGTCCCGATTGGGAGCTGTTAAAAAGGAACTCCTGTTGCTCTGTGAGGCTAGCTTTAAGGTGCAGAACAGACGGCTGTATCATCGGTTTGTCGGTCAGATAACTAAAACATCGTCAACTGCAAAATATTACATCACTTTTGAATGCCATGATTATATCTCAGTTTATCGGATTCACTGAGTGTGATGTTAGGATTTAGTTGTATCTACCGGTCTAGTTGCAGATTGCAACAAAGCATGAAACTACCGTGGAAACATGGCTGTTCAACATGGCACCCTCCTCGTCTGTAGGGAGAAACGTGGATAGAAAGGTAATAAAAACAGCAGTTCTTATTTTAAGGTGATTCTACACTAATGAAAACATACCTCAACCCTCAAACCCAATAATGTGAAGTTTTAGCCCTTAAATATGATTTTGACAGGTCTTAAAAAATGGATTGGATTAATGAAGTTAACTTTGCTGTTTTTGGGAAAAAGATTCTTTTGATCATGCTGTAAAAACTATAAAACGAAACTCAGATGGAACCAAGACCGATTTTCTTTCATATTGTTCATACTTTTTTGCTAGTATGGATGTAAAATAGATCTTAAATTTAATTCATATTGGTCTTAAAAAGGTCTTTATCCAACCAGTCATCAATGAGCAACTGCAGAAACAAGATAATATTGTGATTATGCTTGGTGCAATCTTGTTAAATGTAGTCCCCTAACACAAAAACTCAAACTAATTGCAACAGAAAATAATTACAGTTTAACTCGCCATATTGATATTCCCCAAATAGGTCAGCACTACAGCACATAGTGAAACTTGGGACATGTAACATCAGAAGCAAATCATTGAATGTGTTCTGCACAGAGTCTACATTAGGGCCGACACAGCAGAAACAGCAACCGATTGATCTCAGATTTACTGATATTTTATGTGCTGGTTTGTGTGCAGGAATGCGGGCAGCAGATGGGCCCTGGAACAGGCCAAATACAACCTGGTGAATGAATACCTGCTAGTTGGAGTGACTGAAGAGCTGGAGGACTTCATCATGATCCTGGAGGCAGCACTGCCACGCTTCTTCAAGGGGGCCACAGAGCTCTACAAAACAGGTACCAACACAACACACATCACCCCACTGTCAACTTTCTGTCCTCTCTGTTGGTTGTGAGGTTGCTTTGTACTGTCGTAACGCTGCCTTGTCTAGACTGACAGACTCATTAAATCTTCTTATGTTCCTCCAGGAAAGAAGTCCCATCTGCGAAAGACCACCGAAAAGAAGCCCCCCACCAAAGAGACAATAGCCAAGCTGCAGCAGTCCGACATCTGGAAAATTGAAAATGAGTTTTATGAGTTTGCACTCGAACAGTTTCAGTTTGTGCGTGCCCACGCTGTCAGGGAAAAGGATGGAGAACTTTATATCCTGGCTCAGAGCTTCTTCTATGAAAAGATCTATCCCAAAGTGAACTAAAAGGGAAGCCAGGAAAGGGACACGGGCTGCACAGGGACTTAGAAGTCATTTACACTGGCAGGAAAAGACACAGGTTCACCGAGTGATGCTGGTGAACGCTTGAATGCTTTTTCTGAGAATTTTGACCTCTACAGTTCAGAAAATCCCTTTCAGATGGAATTTCTACGAAGAATGTGTCTAATTTTTTTTATTGCTGGTGCAGCTGTTGAGAAAAGGAGCGTTGGTCTGAACTGTGAGACAGAAGTCCAGCCCAGAGCAGGGTGAAATAGTGATACATCTCACAGCCCAAACACAAGCAGCCTGTGATTTTACAACATTCTGTTTTTGGCTCAGTTTGAAAGCATATTTAAAATGTGTTTTTCTGTGCCCCTGACAGGTTAGAGAAAGGGAATCAGCTGAGAAAGATATCCAGCTTGTATTATACATACACTAGGTTATTGGTGCACAAATTCTTGTTTACATAGTTACAGAAGATAAAACTGTTACAGAACAAAAAGATCAGAGCTGCATTTATGAGCATGCAGTGAACATGTTTTTGGACCAAATGGTAGCAGAAGAAAATAGATTGGACCATAGCATCCTTTGGTGCGTGACTAGTAATTTTTTACCCCGCTGAGATGTTTTTTTTTTTTAGACGTTTAACACATTGCATCAGTATTTTATGACAGGGATAGTGCTGTGCATCTTCGGTCCAACTGATAGCCGCTGTTTCAGCCAGTGAAAGGACCACAGCTGGAGAAAAGTACCAATCAAAAATGAATCGAATGTTTTGAGTACAGGGTTTACCAGAGCTGTGACTTGTTCATGCTTTCATGTTCAGCAGAAAAAGATGGAGCCGGAGGTCGAACTGATAGTGCCTTTATTACAACGTTTAGGACTCGTTTCCAACGATCCCACAATCATGTTTCTCTTTTTTGTGTGTATTCTGATGAACTGCAGTTCCCTTTTCTCTTCTGTTTCACACTTACCCCATTAACAACCTAAACATAAATACATGACTGCAAATTTCTTGGCTCATTTTATTCTCACTGTATTCTCTACCAAGAGTTGTTGCCTGTGTCGAGTGTGTGTTTGTGTCTTGTTACTCATGGTGACACTGACAAGCAGGAAGCAGCTTGGAACACTGTCACTTGCATTAGTTATCACTGTGAGGCAGTTTTTAATGGCACCACTGTTGGATTCTGAATTAGCTGGTTTTTAAAGCTTTTGAAATTGTGCTTCCATAAGGGGGAAGGACCTGGGAGAGGACCTGCTTGTTTACTGAGACACAAATTGGTCCAAACTGTGGCAGGGAGACTGTAGTCCTGTGTATGGATCAAACACGTAGACTGTATATGAAGATGATCAAGCTCCAAAATGCCTGGTTCCTACATTTCCCATAGTGCAACTTGATAGCATCTTTTGTTAGATCTGTGCCTGGAAGTTTGATGTTTGTTCAGCATGAATATTATTATTCATGTCCAAGCACTGCACAGTTATAGCTTCACAGATTGCTATCACTTAATTATAGAAAAATCCCCGATGACACAGATAAGAATTTGACATTAATATTAAACATCGTATGTTCTTTTATCAGAGACATATGTTCCTCAAACGTTTATGAGACAAAAACCTTTCAAAATAATCTCATGTCTCTTATGTGCAGTTGGCCCACGTGCTTCCAGATAACTCAGTTTAATGTATTCATTAAATGCGACAGTAACATGCCCACAATGTCAATGCTAACATGCTGGTGCAAAGCATATACTGTATAATGTTAACCATATCAATTTAGCATCTTAGCATTTAGTTATTTAGCATTAAACACAAAGTTCAGCTGATGGTTTCAGATGAAAACTTAAGCCATCATCAAGGTCATTACAGTTCATCCTCGGGGGAACAGGAATGTGTGTAGGGAATTTTATGGCAATCCATCCAACAGTTGGAGAAACATTTCACTCAAAACCAAAATGTCCAGAGTCATGGTGGCGCTAGAAGAAAAGTCGGGCTCACCAAAGTCAATAAGATTCATCATCTGGGCGCCAGAGCGTTCATCAATTTCAACCAACAAATATTGGATGGACTGTTGGATGGAGGGATTGATATTTCAGTCTGGTCAGGGCAAAACATTCTGACTTTTAGTCCTTAAAATGGGTCAACATCCAGCACACTAGATCCTAGATTTCCCACAATTCACCTCAATTGCATAATTTTTCAATGAATGGAATGGTCCATAAAATGTCTGGAAATAGTAAAAAAAAAAAATAAATAAATAAAACACTGGTCACAGTTTCCTTAAGCCCAGTGTGACATCTTCAAATATCATCAGTCTAAAACTCAAACATACTCAGTTTACAATTCTATGAAAAGAAAAGCAAAAACAATCTCTCAGTTAAGCAATAAATTGAGGATCTAAATAGTTGCCAATTCATTTTCTGTATATTGACTGAACGATTAATCGAATGTTCATGCTATATAATACATACAGTTTCTATTAGACTGTACTTTTTGGATTAGGGATGTGTCGGTGCTGGCTGAATATTTTAAGCCTTTCTTGGCTGGTTTTTCAAATTGATTGTCTGAATAGGAGATTTTATTCCATACAGTACATGAGTGCAATGACTACTCCCATATGTGGACAATCAGGCTTGTTTTTTTCACCCTTTTTGGGTCTCTTACAGTGATTTCCATGAGCCCACTCACTCTTGACTCCATTTCTCGTCGTTTGGCTCCATAATTACAGAATAATTGCCTCGCTATATCTTACTCAACAGGGAGTACTTAACCACTGAAACCGTGAAATAACAGACTGGGACGGGATGATCTGCTGAAGTCAGCGGTATTACCAACTCCTGCCTCCTCTCTGACGGGAGAATAGACAGGAGGGAGGGAGAGTGTCTGCAGGGAGAAGCACTAGCACGCTCCACCAGTCCACAGCCTGTTCTTGTGTCTACACAGAGACGGGCACAAAGGCCCCAACCCATATTTGACGCTTTGTGGCCATGGACACAAGGAGAGGCTGCCCGTCTCAGAAAATAGAACTCAATTAACAGTTTAGCTGCAGGCATATTGGAACATTGTTTCATTAACGAGATGAATACAGTCTGATAATTACTTCATCTCAATTAGAAAAAAAAAGGCTACACTCTATATTGATTGTGGCTGATGAGCTTGAAGGTTAATTAGGAACACGATATTTCAAAAGTCTATCCTGCTTTGTTGTTGTACTGTTTATTGGTGGCTTTTTTTGCTTTTGTGCAGTTTTGAATGTGACTGTGCAGACTCTGACTTCCTGCTTGATTCTATCTATTCACCAAAAGGTTTGTCTTTTGTTTCTGCAAAGTATCCCACCTCTGTCCTAACCTTGACTCCACTCTGTTTGAAGTGCACAGTTTTGGCATCAGTTTCTGTCTCGCTGTTCTCCTGTCGGCCACTAGAGGGAGCCGTGGTCCTTCTGAAAGCCCTCTCAGAGCAGCATGGGAGCTTGGACTGACTGAAACGGTTCACCAGGCCCCCATTAATGCACCTGTGCAAAGCCAAATGGAACAAACTAATAGTGCATTACCATTAACAATACAAATTACACCATTAGGCACACTTGGCTCTCATGTGATAGCTATAAATAGTTTCACTTGGTCTTGGACAATTTGTGCTGTACTTGCATAATGACAGCACTCAAATTAATTCAGGGTGTGCAAATGGAGGACCCATATTGCTGCATGTTGTGAAAGGGGACATTTTGGGCTTTTTTAATGATGTGCCTCTTCCTGCAGAGCCACCTTTGCAAGAGGAATTGATCAGTGGGGCCAGCAGCCCTAACATAAGTAAAATGTCTCCATTACAAGCCATCTAGAGCATTTGATCCTGTTATTGCTGAAGCTGTGCAGAGTAATGACCTCTTTTTGTCAATGAAAGTTGGCTGGGCTACTAGAAATGGCCCTCTGGATTGGTTTTGGACCCTTTTTCAGCGGACCATAGGAGACCCAGCACAGTTTTTGCAGCTAGCTGACCTCAAAGTGGTTTCACTACTGCTCCATAAAACAAACAGAGCAGAGCAGAGGCAGCTTGACTGCCCCTCACTGGGACTGTGGACAGGACCTTAAAGCGCTTAGCCAAAGGGTACCATTATGTGGACTACTTTTCGCTGTGTTTTATGTAAATGCACCACGATGAAATGGAAGGTAAAATTAAGCCAGCATGTCAAAGGCACTGGGCCAAGAAAACTTTAAGTGTTCCTGATATTCCTATTTTAGTGGAGCCTGGTGCAGATGATGGATTGTAGTTGATGGGGGGAGAAAACGATGGAAGCCATCACCATCATAAAGCATTGCCAGATTCATCCATTGATGGTTTCTTGCCTTGTAGCCTGTTACACATTGATATTTGACGATGTCAAAGGGATAGTTAAACAAGACTAAGCCATGCTAGGAGCCCTGTGAAGCTGTACTGAGGCACAATATATAGCCTCTCATGTATTAGTGTTGCAATCGAGTCACAGAGCTAAGCATCCATCTCCCTAAAAGACAAATACCCTGTCATGTTTGATAAACCCAGAAGGTTGTTTAACAAGACTGGTGATTTTTTTCCATCCATTGCATGATATCTGATCCAAAGACTGGTAGCCTGTAGTTACCTGAATAGCTGTGGAGAAGTTTTTTATTGTGTTGCGGGCTGGTTTCTTTTTTTTTTTTATCCAGATGATCAAACATTACCAGTTATTTATCTTACAGAGAAAAGGATGCTTAGGCCTGTGACTCCAATGTAAAACTCACATGATACACAAGCTTTAAGCTAAATGCTAACATCAGTATGTTAGCATTATATATATATATATATATAATATGGTATTTACCATTGTGGCGCTAGATTAAAAACCGAGCTGAAGACCACCGAAATCATAACAATTCATGCTGAGAGCCACAGGAATGTCTGCACCAAACCTCATGGCAATCCATTCAATAGTTTCACTCAAAACCACAAATGTGAGAGTTAGAGGATTGCCCAAGCCAACAGGATTCATCATCTGGGAGCTATGAATTTCTGTGCAAACGTTTATCCCAATCCATCTGGTAGATGTAGATGTTTCACTGGATAAGAAGGAACTGTGAGCCGGTGGCACTTGAGGAAAAGGGGATCCCAGTCAGTAGGATTGATCTTCTGAGGACCATGAACGCCTGACCACATTTTCATGGCAATCCATTCAATAACTGTCGACATTTCACTAAAAACCAAAAATGTTAGATGCTAGATGAAAAGTCAGGACATCATCAAAGTTATTACAATGCATCCTCTGGGGACCATAAACACCCATCAAGTGGCTTTTGAAATGATTCCGTTTGGACCGACTGACAGACAGATCACGAACACAGCAACCCAACAAATCACAGACACTTTACCTGAGCAGTAATCCATGCATACGTTCTGTTAGACTGTAGTGCTCTGACTCCTTTTATAGATACACTCTTGTCAATTAAAAGGAACATGGACAGGAAGATCACAGCATCACATCCATCATTTACATGTAAGAGTACATGATGTAATCCATAATGGACAACATGAGCCTGTGAGCACAACAGGGAGGTTGACCCTGTACAGGAAACTCTCTGATACTCTTAATTAGATTGCTGTATTGTAGTTTGACCTTGGTGGAAGACACTCTACACTACTCTGTCTCTCCCTCTCTCTCTGTCTTTCTCTTGCTCTTGGTTGTGCTGGCAGGCTGAGAGCACATAGTGGTGCATGGGCATTTTCTCCTGGAGGGTAGGAGAGAAATGCAATCAGCAATTCAATCGTGGCCATTGTGTAGCAGTGCTGATGAGCTTTGCAGAGTAGATAATGGATTAAATTATTTATCCCCCCCCTCCTCCTCCTCAGTGCTTATTGTTGCCTCCTCTTTGTGCTGCTACAGCGGTACACAGACGTAGGTTGAAGGCCTAGATCACTTGCTGCCTTTCATAGATCTAATTTTTCTAATTAGCGCTTGAATGTAGAATGTCCTCTCCCCCTTTACCCCCTGCCTCCGCCGC